TATTAGTGTTTATCATGTCGATAACGAAATGTTGCATTGATGTAATGACGTAAACATTCATTGTTTACTTGTTATTAGGTGTGAAATTTCATTTAACTGGAACGCGAATAGTCAAAAACGCGATTGACGTAGGGGCACTCCAGTTTTTCTTAGAAAAAGGAAGTGTAACAAATTAGATATGACGCTTATTGGAACGTATACAAATGGTACAGCTAAATTTGAAACATTCAGTCACCTAGGAATGAAACTATTTTTCCGGATTTAAATCGCGTATATTTGTTTTTTCAAACAAACCGACGTTTCGGGCCCTTTACAGGTCCCATGGTCACGGTTGACTCTTTTTGAGAAAAGAGAGATTTAAATTTCTTAATTTTTCTATTTAAAATTTTGAGAGATTTAAATCCGGAAAAATAGTTTCATTCCTATGTATAACAATCGCGAAAACCTAAGAACTCGATTCAGTCACCTTTTCAGTCAATATTAACTACAGTAAAAAATAAACAGATATTGATATTATTTAACCACTTACACAACTTATTACAATTAAAAACCACACAATAACAACAAGGGGCAATAGTGAATGAATAATATAAGAATGGTTTTCAACGTATAAATTTTGAAATTACAACGTTTCTTTCATTTTTGGTCATAAAGTTGAACCTTGAAGTAATCTTTGGACTACCAATACTTGTAAATAGTATTAAATAAACATTAAATATAAGAAAACATCATTTCTTCACACAAATACACGTAATTGAAAACTACAAATCAGAACTATAGTCAAGGGTATCAAACGCTTAATAACAGTCATGATTCAGATATATACTAGAATGTTGCAACTTTCTAACAAATAAGTCAAACAAATCGAATCAAATCGTGCGAAGGCCATTTTCCCTTTTAGACGATACATTGATCATCTTCTTCTTGCAAATGTTATTTGTACAATAGTTGATTGATTACTGATAAACACCTTCGAAATTCCTATTGTATTTTTGACAGTGATAACCAAGGACTATGGTGAAACTGAAGAAAGAAATTGGGAATCGTATGACCTTTTAGACATTCCCTTGATAGTATCAGAATGAAAGGGTCAGCAGTGTTGGGTCATAGCATGGCAAATTTAAATCAACGCGTGAAATATTGCACAGTGTTGATGCTAACAACCAATATGGAGATTATTGTACAAGATTGGAATCGCAGATTGAAATGGCGTTGAAATTAGACATGCATAATCTTTACACTCTGCAAAATTTAAGCTTTATGCAAGGCGCAACAGTTTAAATTTAGTTTCAAATTGCAAAACTGCCATTGAAATCAAGTCATTTATATACCACTAAACAATTAAAAAAATAAACGATACAAAAACTAAGATACATAATACATATTTGTAGATTTGGAATCGTATAAAATAAAAATCGAATTTTCAAGTTAACCACAGAAACCGCAAGCCGAAATAAAAGGTTTTATAAAACGAATCGTTCACAATGCAACAATACAGTTGCATACGAATATGATTTGAGTAATACAAAGTAATTGCATGTAACATAACATAAATCGGAATTGCACTTATCGGCTTTGCCTAGAGACATTTCAAAATATTATAAGCCATTCCTTTAAAAAAACGTAGAAAACACAAGCGTGTAGGAAACGAAAGTTGTGTACTTCTTATCTACCTATATATGAAGAAATGGTGGTAAATTTTGATGTCCGCTAACACAGGAAGCTCAAAATTTACTAAGAGAACCATGTGCCATCCTCGGCGTCAAACCTATATATAGACCGAAGTTCGAATTACGATATCCAAAAACGGACTAAGGTCCAAGACATAGGAGATCGGATATCAGAGGCATAGTAAACATGACAAAGTGTGTATAGCGACAACCGAGTGGTGGCCAAAAAGTGGTTATAGTAATGTGAGACGTCCTCCAGCGCGATAGGGAACGATGTCATCAAAATTACGGGTCGTAGATGGGTGAAACTAGCGCAAAAATATGATGGATGATACAAACTACGGCTATACCCAGCAGTAGTTGAAATCGGATGTGATGATGATGTTTATGAATCAGTGCAGGTAGCATAGTATCTACAATTATCCGTGACGGGTGTAATAATGCGCATGTATATATTTATACAAATTTGAAACAATCGTAGCCCTAGACAATAACGTTATCAAATTCTTTAGACAAAGGCAATTGTCTTTTGTGTAAATAAATTCATATAATGTGATTAATCACGTAGGAATATTCGTAACTTCTTGAACTTTGCTGAAAACTTACATAATATTACCATGGTGTCGTTGACTGTGTATGCCTCTATTCATTTTAATTAAGATTTGCTATGTTTTGTTTTGCTTATTCTTACATGGCCATAGCCGACGGAACGTTGCCCAATGCAACACGTCAAAACGTACTTTTTCGTGCGGTTGTGGCAAAAGGCAAATGCAAATGGTCCAACAATACGCTGTTGCGAAACTCCGGCGGAACAACGCGGGCGCACGGAAGGTCGGCGCTTCGGTTTCACGAGTACCGTCTTTACGCATAGACATTTACTTGGCAAAATTTATTGCATTTATCTCCTAAATTATAATATTCCCTATCAATTTCGTTAACAGTACTATTCAAAGATATGCAGTGCCCTCATTCCGCATTGTAAACATGGTATAATAAAAACCTCTTCCTTAATAGAGGCCGATGCTCAGAAAATTGGACGTATTGTGTTTGATAACAGTACAACACATTCCACAACTGTATACCTCTACCATTTGTTACAATCATAACTGTTTGTGCAGTGGAAACCATTTAGTTGCGCTACATTATTTGCTGGACAAGTACTTGTTAGACCAATACTTTAATTAAATAGACCCTTAAAATATAACGTTTTTCGTAACTCATGGATGTTACTTTTAAAGTGGGTGGATGGTTCGTTACGTGCTAGTAAAGAATGTGGAAGTTGAGAAACGGTACTGGTGGAACCACTCAGTTTACTGGTACTATTTGTTATTTATGTAACTGAAGCTTGTTTGCAGGCAAAATGGTGACAGGGGGAATTATTTGCATGTGGAGGGCTACATGACAGATAAACAAGCTCAACAAGTAAACGACATCAACCATAATTGAATTCAATAGAGATTTAATTTGATGCTATGCAAAATGTGCTTTTGATGTACATTTTTCATAGTGTTCTACGTCTTTCATTTTTATCGATAAGTATTCACAATTTTATAGGTGCATTACTACACTCTTTTTCAAAATTGTCCTCTAATGGAACGCTTCATTAATTTAATTAGGTTTAAGCTACACACAACTCACACTATACGAAAAGGATGAACTCCCGGTGGCTTATAGAAAGGATTTGAAAAAGATAGCAGCTGGGGAATCTACAATCACTAATGTTGAATAAGAAAAGGAAGACTAGCCAAACATCACCGGTGTAACTAAAACGCACAGACTTCGTTGGCTTGGTCATGTAGAAAGGGAAAGCATCGGAACGTGAATAGAGCCTAACTGAGTCGGTCCACCGAACAAAGAGCAGTTCGTAGATCCAGGTATCGCTGGAGCGACGCCGAGGAAATGGACTTATTCGAACTCCAAGCAAATGACTGGTCGCAGACGACACAAAAGCCAAAAAAGTGGCATAATCTCGTTTCGGAGGCTAAAACAGGTTTCGGGTCGCGGAGCCCGTAGAGTTAATAAGTAGGTCTAAGTTACAGATACCAACATGGTACAACAAGTCTATTGCTAATTAGAAATGACTACTTGTTATCCGAAATAAATAATTATTAATAATATATAGCCTTTTATTGTTTAATAACGAATGACCATTGAATATAGTATTTTCATTGAAAAGAAAGCTAAAACAGTGACTAATTGTTAGTAATAAAGTGTACAGGCAAACGTTCTATGTTTTGATAACAGATCTTTGTGTGTTTTCAAAAACTTACCCAACTTCTATATGCAACAACAATATGATTAAGATGTATGTATACGACTGTTCAAGAAATAGATGAACCCTCGCAAATTTTCAATGGAATGTAAAAATACCAAGCATTAAAGACACATTGAATGGTAAATGATATTAATGAAACATAGGCAAATCCTCTTAAATGTTTCGAATGGAATAACCAAGAATGAAATTTGTTATCCCTAACTTATTATGAGAAAAAACGTAATATCCTTGGGATTCCTTAGATAAACAAACAGAATAACAAAACACGTAGTCCAAATATTCGAGATCAGAAACCTCCAATAACTAACAACAAGGACATAGTTCACGTGGCTATAGATATTGATAAACAAACCTGAATGTCAAATGTCACGGTGCCTTAATGTTTTCGAAACGTCATAATTTTGTCATAAGTACAAGGCACAAGTTTGTACAGCATAATTTATGCACCAAACGTTCGTCCAAGGGTTCATATCGAAAACCAGATTTGGATTTTGATACACATTTGAACACGTCATAAATTACAAAATTGTTTAACAAAATAACGATTTCCAAATGTGATGTTCATTTACTAATGTTTAATCAAACCAGTATCAAAAATCAAAGGCAATATGGACATGTAATTTTAATCGGGAGATAGGAAATGCAGCTGTACTTAATACTTGAAGTACTACTTGAAATGCTGTCTGAAATATACCAAACAAGAAGTATATTTTTGTTTTTCTCGAATAAAAAAGGGCGGAGTTTGAACTTTATATCTTTGCAAAGAATGAATTCACGAAGTCTGTAATTGGTATTTAGTTATTTGTTTAAGTGAGAAAGGTTGGGTCTTTGAAGCACGCAGCCTTGATGCAACATTAGGTTTACACATTGGTATTTACTTCCACTACGAGCGATTATCATATTTTGCTACAGTTATTTCTATAAAGTTTGATAAGTTACAATTTATACTAAATGAGCGTGCTCTATAATTATAGCTGCTATAATTACTATTGGAACTGCCCAGGGATCACTACTTTTAAGTTTCTGTAGGCTATAGCCTTAATACTAAGTCGTACCTGGTAGGACTGTTTTGCCATCCTTCCTGTCTTCGTCACTCCTGGTATCCTCCACTTCAGTCGTGCTCTGTTGCTCCTCGCATCTCGTGTCCTGGACTAGCAGTATCGCGCACAGAAACACCAATGTGATCCTTAAAAACTCCCGCATTTTAACAAACGTTTCAACTTAGTCAGAGAAAGCCATCTTCGATCACCGATCGTTGTATCAAACGTCGGTAGCAGTCACATTTTCACCGATTAAAGGGGTACGCTTCAATGACATACGTGGTCGAACATCAACATTGTTTTGGTAATGAACACATTCACTTTTACTTACGAAAAACGGCACTATCAACACAAAAACACTGTGATATGATTGTATTTAGGGTAGCAATTACTCGATAAGCTAATTACAAAATAAAATTGTGAAATATTAATAAAGATTCGAAAAGATTTTCGAAATTTCAAATGTGCTCATGGAACGGTGATACACGCGCGCCACTCGCGATTGGTAGCGAAGGTACTGACGATTGGTGGGAGAATCCTATTCGCGTCGCCCCCACTTGCGCGAGCGCAGCGACGGCGGCGGCGGCGCGTAGCTTGACGCACAAGCAGTGATCGGTCGTTGAGTTGCGGCTGGTTTCTAATGGTTAGATAAGCTATCAGAGAAATTGTGGTCGAATTAATAGCTTGTGGCTTGATAGCGAATGTTGACAATAACGGTAGAAAGTCAGTAGGAAATAACGCAATAATTAAATTTGTAATTGTTAATTCACGATATTTATTTTATATAATATGCAGTTAAATAAATTTTCACTAAAATATTTTTAACTATAAATACAGAAATTTAACCACAAAAACGTTACGTCGATTGTTATAATTTAAACGTAAACTTAAAAATATCATAAATAGAAACAGTCTGGCAGAATGGCTGATCGGGCTCACAATTATTTTCGTCGCAGAAGCTGTAAAAGCTCGTGTATAAAGTTGATGTTTTACGATAGTGCTAATTCCCGTATACTGCAAAATTTTAATAACGATAGAAATTCTAACACAGAGCAAATTGCCTCGTTAAATAAATTTGTAAAGACAACTGACAGCGACGTCATCCTTTTTATTGTTTACTAAACATTGTTTGGTAAAGTTTTATTGGACTTAAGAACACAGCTAGCTTCCAAATTAAGGAAAGTTATCATTTTAACTCTGGTGAGAGACTTCATATTTTCTTGATATAAATGGAATGCAAATGTGGTTTTTTATTGTACTCGAATCGGCAAAGGAAGTAGATGGTCTACCATATGAAAAGGATATAGATAGACTTGCCAGTAATGATATATAATATCTTCTTAAGTCTTCTGCGCTCTGATTGCATTGGCTATTCCTACCGTCCAATATAAAACAAAGCAGTTCTGCTTTGCGGTAGAAGTAGATAGAGAGCAGTGGTACTTACCTGGGCGAATATTGCATAGATAACATTTACAACCATTTCTCTAATATTATACACAATTGCTAGGGTTAGATCTAAATTGGCAACCGGATAAATATACCACAATCTGTAATTAATATATTTATAAAAACAAACTCATCTATTGTTATCATTCATCCCAACAATCCTGGTATCAAATGTTCAATCATACATTTCACTGTTCTTCTCTGATTTTTAAAGTTTAAAACGCTGTTTTCAGTTCCCTGATAAGGTTTCCAGTTTTTTTACTACATTTTTAACGTAATAACTTCTACAGTTTCGATAGGTTTCAGGTCCATTGCTTCTGTTAGTGATATTGTAAGTTGTGTTCTACAACATATGTTAACATAATAACGTAATCTTCCTAACATAATAGCATAATACTAATAGCGTTAAGTTATTCATGGGAAATGAGGTGGTGGGAAAATAAAAAATCAATACATCCACTCATACATATCTATAAATAAATACATCCATCACCACAATCATACTAAAACCATGCATGTGAAAATGGGAACTAATTCAGAACAACGAAAAAGTGACTTCGTCAGTTTCGCCGACAAAGTATTGAAGTCCATGTAGGTGGCTTTTTATGTTGCTTGTGGGTGGCTGTTCATACCTTTAGTTAAGGAATTTACAGAACGGAAGGAATTTATGAAACTTTTGACTCAGCAATACACAGGTCGTCACTAAATAATATTATTAAAAAATTAGTAAACCTAATTACTTTATGATAAACCAAACAATAACGTGGATATTCCCTTCTACAAACCCCTAGACTTCTCGGAACTGATTATATTTGGATATGCGTATTATTTTTTCAAAATAATATATTAAATTATATTAATATATATATATTAACAATTTTTAAGTTGCGTTGCGTGTTGTGTTTAATTATAATTAGTTATGCATATAGATAATATCTCCACCACATTTAATTTATTATATTAATGAATCAGTAAATAAATAAAATAAGATAAAAATTTGATGTATGCCCTTGCGATGATTATATCTAGTCTGTTTATATACAAGTCAAGAATAAGCTACACATAAACTACGCTTGAAATATGAACAATATAAACTGTAATAGCATTGTGTTAGTATTCGTTTCAATTCACACAACTCGTGCAGTGATGGCGTGCTGCAAAAATGTTTTCATAATGCGTTGATACACACCTATAAATTATTTATATACACAATAAGCTACCTGACGTATTTAAAAATTAAGTATTTGACAGATTATATATTCAAGAATCTGACAAAAACATGCAATTCTGACTGACATATTATAATGTGTCTGGATTTAAAAAACAGTAATAACACGACATTCACCTTATTGCATAGGACTGTTTGATGGCTTCATTATTTTTTTACAACGGGAGCCCATGGCGTGACGCGTCCCTCCCTCATTTTACGGCTATAATAAAGACACCTAAATTACAGGTTTAAAACAAATATTAGTGCTGTAAAAAGCCTAAATTTTATCGATACGTGTTGCAAGTGTTGTTTTTGATAGACGTTTAGCAGAGTATGTGATATTTTATTGGAATAATTGTTATTGGACACTTATCATATGTGTAGGCCACGAAAACAAGTCGTGCTGCTTTTGCCAACCATCGACTTGAAGTTTGGAGTCCGCTTCCATGGCAACTGATCTTCCTCCTGTGGGCCGACTCAGGCATTCTTTGATTGAACAAAAGGACTTATTATCCAGATTTCATACGAAATAAAATAAATTGCTTATATTCTATAGTATTTTTATTAGATATTTATAATGTTTAATTTTTTAACAATGACCGTGTGTTATGAAAATTTACTATGTTTTGTTTTTGTTGCTAAGTTATACTCATTATACTCTCAATAATAAAGTAACGAAATTCAAAGACTTTGAGTAACTGACAAAATTGATTTAAAAAAAAATAATTCATGTGACACCAATCCTTATATCCCATTTGATTGGTACTAAATATGACAAAAGCTATTATTCTCCTGCAGGTATTCTCAATTTAAGATGTTTGAAATAAATATTGGAAGTGATAAATGTATTCAAATGTATATTTACAAAGAGCAGCCCCTAGAGTTTCTTATTCCGTTCTTCTCAGGGGAATCTGCCTTACGAATAAGCGGTAGAGTTTAATGAATAGATATGACGTTTTCAAGTGTGATTTGCTTACCTATAAAATAAAGATGATTTTAAATTTCGAATTTTATTAAAATATGTAAAACGATGTATTTATATTTTTAGATTTTTCGTACATTATTACTGCTAAGGGTGTGATTTAATTGTACATAATTAGTGTACATTGAATTGATGTTTAATAATTGTTGTTAATAAACGTGTCTATTGGGTAATTTTCAGGTAAGATTTTTGTACCCAAATTTGGTGGCAATTTTTACTATTTCAGTATTCGAATGTATTATCGTGAAATATTAACAATATTTCAGAACCCTACACTCAAATATTAACTAATACTTCGTGATAATATTCTAGAATGTCGAAATTAAGTAAAGAAATCGAACCTAAAAATTACTCTACATCAGCCGAATAAAATCATAATGTAAATGTATACTGTGAATTAACAGTGGAATTTTCTTGTCATTTCAATGTCTCTCGTCAACCCATCTGGTCGGAAACTAAAGTTAAATGTCATTAGGTTAAATAATTTATATTAAAAGGTACAAATTATTTAATAACTATTAATGTCAAAATAGTAGAAGTGGCATAATGGTCATCTTAAGTAGCGCAGTGGGAGAAGGTTGAGAAGAGATTATGAAGTCGATATTGTATGGACCACCTTCAGAAGACTGAAATAAAGTTATTTTATTTATTTTTTTATTTTATTTATTTCGAAGCCCTGTGGCTATGTTTACTTATAACTTTAATTCCTAAGTTACACTTATTTATAAATATGTAGTAGCAGTGCTCCTCGCTGGGTAGAACGCTGCAAGTCAAGGAAGGTTCCCCAACCAGCATTGGATCAGCGCGGTGGTCAATAACCTAACTTCTCTTCTCAGACGAGACCCATGCGCAATGAGACGTCTTAATGGGCCGTTGATGAACATGGCGACAGAATGGTAGTCAATTTGTTGATACCAGAAATCATGCTTCTTTTATTTTAAACTATATTGATTAAGAATAGTATGTCGCCATCTTGACTGCGCGATCTGTGGCCGCGTAGAGGTCTTCCCTCGTACAGGTATTAGGGTTACAAATGGCACAACTGTAAGTGCTACATGGACTGTGTAAAGGCACGGCATATATTTCTGATAAGAACCAATACAGGCACTGTCAACAAGTAAACTTCGCTAATATATGGATAACGTAATTTGTGTATTGCATGACGGAAAAGTTATAAATTACGTAAATTATTTCTTTCGATCAGAGCTAGTTATTAAGTTAGTAACACAGGCTTCTAACCCCGACAACAGGCGCCAGTCATTCACTTTGACAGCTCATACCCAAATTGAATTGTAATGTCTTATAGATCTATACAGCTATTAAATATTAATCGTAATAAGTAGTTTAATATTGGTTATACAAAGCAAAAAGTTAAAGGATCTAAGCTAGTAATGTATGAGAATAGTTAAAATACAAATTAGCTAAGTCTAACCATACAAATAATTCAACGTAATTATGTTTCGACGTGCGACTTTAAGAAAGAAAAACATTTATAACCTAACCTCCGGTTAAAAAAACTGACCTCAAAAGTCATTCATCCCTTATTTACCACCCGTAGAGGTGGAATATTTCCTTCAAATTTAAATGGCACTACTTTTGAGGTACCCTCTTTCTAACAAAAAAAGAATCGTCAAAATCGGTTCACAAATAGCGGAGTTATCGCGCAACATGCATACAAAAAAAACTATAGAGACGAATTGAGAACCTCCTTTTTTTTGAAGTCGGTTAAAAATACATTTTTATGTTAGTGCTGCTCGTAAGACCAACTACCATATTAGTCATAGAATTTCTGGTAAGTATGGAA